TATATATAACACACACACATATATATATATATATATATATATATATATATATATATATATATATATATATATATATATATATATATGTATATGTATACACATATACACATTTGTATTATATATATATTTATATATATATATTACACTGAAGTACAATAATGAAATCCTTTTGTCCCGTAGTGTGAAAATGAGACCGTTCGATATGCCCATGCACCATTCTGGTACAATCTGCGCCTGTATATACTCCCTACTGTACAAATAAGCCACGCACGTACGCAGCTCTAAGTGTCCTATAAATATCCCGTTGATGTACACTCTTCGTCACTGAGGAATGAAGGATACCTACTTGACGTGACTTAACTTGCATTACAATGCCCACTAGCCTACCTATGTCTCCGCAAATCTAGTCTATATTTTATTAGTTTATCTTATCACTTCACTTATTCATTATCTCTATCTGGTCTTGTTAAGGGGGATATATACTTTAATGTATGAACATATCTTATCCTTCGAGAGGGTGTAGCCGCTCTTGAGCCCCCACTAATCACTAAGGCGTGCGTGTAGGCTGTAACTACACCCTACACACGTGTTTACCATCAAACACACGCACACACACGTCCCTTACACACTGTCTTTGCCACAGATGAAGTCTCCTGGCTACTACGAAGCATTAGAACGACGCCATGTGACTATAAACGTTAAACGGGGAATGTTAGAGTTGTCCGTACAGTCTATAGATCAGCGGTTGATGCGTTGGTGGTCTCGGCAATCGCAGCGCGCGAAATGGATGTATTCCTTCTGGTACAAATTAGGTAAACACGTATATGTATGTAGGTAAAGTGGCTGATAGTTGCTTACTTATATTATTCAAGTGATTGGTGAACAGTTGCGTTTGCAACTAAAGTGATTGGTATATGCTTACGTTTACTATTCAAGTGTTTGGTAAACACATGTAATTAAAGTAGTTGGTGCACACTTACGTATATAATTATCGCGTTTGCAGTGGTTGCATATATTCAGAACTTGCATGTCTTTATCTGGTTGTTGTTTGCGTTCAAGGGGTCAATTGCTCGCCCTAGTTCGGTACATATTAACATGTATCACATGGCTGAGTCTACCAGTGTATAGTTGTAAGGTATGCGCAGTCAGCGGGTGTGTGAGACTTACGGTTCGTACTACTGATATACTGATGATTTGCATTCGTGCACACTTTAAAGTGTGTTCACTTACTACGGGGGAGATACCGGACGTACTGCGGAAGCCCTACTTTTGTCATTCGATTTGATGAATTAAAAAGTATTGAGCGTCGTGCAATCATTATTTAGTTTATATGTATATATATATTTATATTTATTCATATTTA